TTATCTTACCCTGATCCATGAATTACAGAGTAGGCTGGCCGGTGCTGTTTACCAATCAGGTGGTATAAAGTTACTTGAATATAATAAAAATTTGATTTCAGATCGGTATGAAGAGTCGGAATATAATCCTTTCTTCTTCCTGTGGATTTTTTCTGCTGTGGTTAGCTCTTGTTATACATACATCTGGGACATCAAGATGGACTGGGGACTGTTTGACTCAAATGCTGGAGAAAATAAGTTTCTCAGAGAAGAAATTGTGTATTCTTCACCAGTAAGGAAAAATCTTTCACACACACTTGTGTTTATGTGTAGTTTTCTGATGACTCAACCACATTTTTAAATAACAACTTTGATGATCAGTAACATATAGGAACCATAAGTGGCCAAATATGTTCCAAATGTTGAGAAATTATTTGTTAATTAAATAAATCGATGTGGAAGTGCTTTTATATCTTATTATATTTCTGTTATATTTTTTGTTCAATGAGGTATACTTTAGAATATTTGTAAAGATATAAAAGCCTAAAGCTTATGATAACTCCTGTTGACTTTTGATGCTGTACAGTTTATTGGTTTATCCAGTAGCTGTTACTAAAATCATTTTTAATCATTTTAATCAAGTATGTCCTTTTGATTTTAGGGTTATTATTACTTTGCAATTATTGAAGACTTCATCTTAAGATTTGGATGGACAGTTTCGGTGTCACTGGCTGATCTTGACCTAATACACAGTGATTTAGTTGTTTCCATTCTGGCTCCGTTAGAGGTCATCAGGTAAGATAGTTTATGATATCTGTTATGTATTGCAGTCTTGATAACATACAGGTAGTTATTTTACTAACTGATAGATCCACATATGTACCCCAGTAGCTCAGCAGCAAGTCTGTGGCTTTACGATGCTAAAATTCGGGTTTTAATATCTATGGTAGGAAGAACATTGTTTAGGTTTGTGCTCGATAAAAACCAAGTCAAAGATTAACATACTGTGGAACTTCTTCCATTAGAATAAAACTAATTAACACTGTTTTTGTTTTCATGGATAAGACGTTTTGTGTGGATATTCTTCCATTAGAATAAAACTAATCTACACTGTTTTTTGTTTTTATGGATAAGACGTTTTGTATGGATCTTCTTCCTTTAGAATAAAACTAATCTACACTGTTTTTTGTTTTCATGGATAAGACGTTTTGTGTGGAACTTCTTCCGTTTAGAGAATGAACACTTGAACAACTGTGGTAAATTCAGAGCAGTCAGAGATATTTCAGTGGCCCCTATAGATTCAAGTGATCAGGATATAATCATCAGGATGATGGATGAACCAAATGGTGTTGTTAACAGAAAAAGAAGAGATAAAAAGAAAGGAAACAAGTAATATTTATATTTCTTTTGGTAGAACTTAGTAAGTTGGGTAGAGTC